GAGGTCCCCAACGGGTGAACGCCTGCCAGGCCGATTCCGATTCCCTTACTGCTATTATCACATCTAATACCTGGGGGTCTAAACGTTCTGAGACCCCTTTGTAATACGCACTCATATCAGCAATTCTAGGTGACAACCGAGCAGCTCTAAAAAATGCACAAAAAGAACGTAACGAAGCAATACCAACGCACTTTCATAATCAGGGTTAGAAAAAGGCTGACGAGTCCCCTTTTCACACTACAGTATCATGAAGCCAACGGTACAGTTAAGGTACACGCAGGTCAGGAAGCTAGGCCGCCATACAAAGAGGCGTATTAAAGGAAAAAGAACGGATTACTGACCAAGGCAACAGGGTTGGCCTCATCCTCCAGCAGGTAGTCCAGCATCGCATCACGAAGGACCAGGATACGATCCATTTCAGCAGGCGCACTAGGGACTGGATCGGCTGCGGAGGTGCTGGTCGAGTTCGCCAGAGCTGACTTCCGTTTATGCCTTCGACCATTGGCGACAGCTTCCTTCTTGACCTCATCTAGGTTTACGACAACTTCGGTAGATGGCTCCTGAATATCGCCCTTTTCGCCATCATCCGTCTTCCTGGCGGCCTCCTCGTTAGCGGGCTCTAGTTTGCAGTCTTTTGCCTCGGGTGCCAGGCCGTTCTCCTTGATCTCACCTTTGTTTTCTTCCTTCTCTACCTCTCCTTCTGTTTTCTTCTTTGCCTTTTTCTTCCCCTCTTCCACCTCAACCTTCGCTTCGGCGGTCTCTGTCTCAGAACTCTCTTCCTCCTCCTCCAAATCGGACTGGTTACCGTCGATTAACTCCTTAATGATTATGTCAATGTCGTGCTCCTTTAGCTGACTTGTAACAGCATCACGGCGTAGAGTGGAGGCAACCGTGCCCAAGTAATCCACACTGGTAACACGAATGGCTTGATCGAGGGACTTGTTGTTGAACTGTTGAACCAAAAGACTACCCAGTAGGCTGAGCATCACCTCGGCCGCAGGCCACTCGGGCTTATTCACTGTGAGGAGTAGATCATTGACAAAATTCTCAAAAATAATGCGGTAGTCATCCTCTCCACGGGTAGTGGACTTTTTCAGGAAGACGGCTAGGAAGGAATGGGCTGTGCGTAAAGCCCTCTGGTAGGAGGAAGTAACCAGCAATTCATCATCCGGTCGGGGCGGTTTAGCCCTAGAGGAGTCCGGATTGTTGGCCGCAGCGGCCGTGCTTATTTCGTCCGCGTTTGCCGCAGGGGCCTTATTATCGGTAGGACGACCGGGCAGTTCAACGACTGACTGAACGAGGAGCAGAGCCAGGGCTGTGAACATTTGAATACTCTCCTCGGAATTCAGTCTAAAATGGACAGGGTACAGTTATACTGATAGGAGCATTGGTTGCAATGGGTTTTAGTGTAATTTAAGAATACTACCTACTTAATTCCAGGTGGGAGTGCTTAAATATTGTGTAGTATGAACTCCGCACTCAGATAGAGGTAGTCAGCTGTCATTATTAACAACCCCAAAAAGAGTATAAATAAATTTTCACAGACGGTTTGTGCAGTTTGCAAGCTGTTAATCGCAGGATGTATAGAGAAGACATGTTGCAGCAAAATGGGGGAGAAAGAGTATGTTAGATGCTGTGCAAGTTACCATAGCTGCACTCGCTCCACGGGCTTGCGCTGAATGTCGCCGTTTGCGACGGGTGAACCCTCATCAGCCGCTAACCGATTAAATTGGTAGGTGTGGAAGATAAATTCAGTAAACAAAGATTGCTTAAAAGGTTAGAAATACTTGTGGGCATGCCATTCATACACAGTAGCTTGTTTACTGTTGTCGAGAACCATTCTAGTCACGTGTGCAATATAAAGGTACAAGTTACAAAGCTCAACTTAGGTAGCGTGTGTTTACCAGAAAATTTGCACAAGAATATCTATTGCGAAACATATTATGTTGGAAATTGCGTCCTCTTGAAAGAGCAGAATGGCGGGGCAGGAAGTACTCTTCCAGGTTTCACAAACTAGCGCAACCAATATGGATTCCAGTATTAAAAAACCTGTGGACATGGGATTACATGAAAAAGGCGTGCAAGCGTCTCAAAAATAGCGGATCAAAGGTTATGAAAGCTAAAACAACCTCTGCTTTCAAGCAAAAAAATTTTTAGACGTAATTGAGGTAAAATTGAACGAAGCTGTGTCGCTTACAGAGAACGAATTCTAAAAATCTACATATGGTCTAAAAATGTTTAACAATAGATAACGGTTTTTCGTAGGTGAGGCAACTTTGTAGTAGGTCTGTGGTAATTAATGTTGCAACCTCACCTAAGTAAAAGGCCCCTAGATATTTCCGTCATTGTTATGTCTTTTAATAAATTACCATTAACGGGAGATGCAGAGAAGGGGCAGTTGGCTACATGTTGTAAAGGGGGCGTAGAACAGACATATACATCACGGTGTAGGGCTTACCGGTATGCACGTAGGTTTTTCTTGCTGGAAGGAAGCCGCGCAATACTTGCTATAACATCTTCAACAATCAAGTTTCGATGGGCTTCATACTGTGAGAATATTCCAGTCACAAGCTTCAGCGCTGCCAATTGCAGTTCAGTTACATTTTCCACAAAGAAGGCCGAGACACCAAGCGAGGAGAGAGCCAAAACCAAACTGTCTGTTAGCCGTTGCATGTTAACAAGTTCGGCCAGACTGGAAACAATCTCTACCAAGCGATAGTAGAGATGCACAATAGCCGTCGATTTGTGGATGTCCCGTTCACGGGCGCGCCTCGATTTGATGCTGTTCTGATTATCTACAAATAACCAAAAAAGCTTGTTAGCAGAGAAAGTTAGAAGTTGGCAGGAAAGTGGAATAATTAATGCATGCAGGTCTCCAGTATCCTGACCTTTTGCCGTATTTTCGACTCGATATGCCGGATCGTATTCGGGGTAAATGCAGTTTGAGAGCTGGAAGCGGGTAACCTGGACAACCTGCTCAATCACATCCTCCAGGTAAATTTCGCG